TTCCAACTTTCGTGTCTCCTTCTTGTCCCTTTGTCGTCGTTCTGTTCTTGCGCTATAACTATCGTCATGTCATACCAACTAGCCCGAAACCGCCACACTGCGACACCCCTCGTAATTGAGACAATGACATGAGACTGTTCAGTTTTTGTAACTATTATCAATCGCTTTTTTATTATACACACGCAAGCTGCACACACACGCACATACGCGTCCTTTTCTTTCATTATCGTAATCAGACAACTGATGCGCACTGTACAAGTTCAAACAACTTCACCTGAAGGTGTCCTAACGCGTAAATTCTTTCCATTCGGCATAACCGCATTAACTCATGCCGAAAACATGTGTTGAACACTAGATGAACAAGTTCCGTCAGGGTTCTGAGATGACACATCGACGACGTACTTTCGCCAGCCTTCAATTGACACTTCGCATTGATTCCAGCAATAGTAATTGTAACACCACTTTCAACATGAAGTGGCCATCTTGCTCCAACGACTCGCGGCAGATTATTCCAAACAGTATTTTTCATGAGGTACTTTTGACATCTACTTGAATCTACTTAAGCGAAAGTGGGCCTCTCAAAAAGAATATTCTCGAAAACTGCTGGAAAAATTTTACACTTACATCTTCCTCCGTACAAAGGTGACCATTGCTAGAGCTTGAAAAGGAATTCTTCCGTTTGAACTTCTTTAGTGACTTGGAATGTTTATAAAGATTAAATAATCTTTGGATGGGGGATATCCCTGGAGGCAGCGTCTTGACAAGTTGTCGTGTCTTCCTCCAGAATGAAGACAAAACGACCTGCCAAAATGTTGCGTTCCGCAAAACACTTTTCGAATTATTTTTTTATATATCCCAATCCTCTACATTGTCCTGAAATTTCTTAAGACGGTGCACATTCTACAGCACTGTTGGAAACACGCTGATTTGTCAAAACACTAGTTATACGCAGATGTTTGCGTTTAGACACAGAACAGTATTTAAGGGTGTTTTTTATCTTTACTGAGGGGTACAGTGTTGAGTGCCGTTTTTATACGAAGAATACGCCTGCGATTTTTTTTTCTGAAAATAGTTTTGTATGGGATACATCTTCACTTCGGTTGGCCCGAGAAGACAACGAACATTCGAGTTGCACACTATAACCAAAGTTACAGTCACGGAATATGTGTGGCTACTCAGTGAACTAAAACGGTTATTTCATCCTGAAGGCGAGAAAACACTCCTGTATAAACTATAGGAGGTGATCTAGTGGTAGGTGTTCAACTAAATGCCACCATTTACACCGCTCAAATTCAGTTAATTACGTCCATTCCTCACTTTTATAAAACCATCGGCCTTGTCTGAGGCATAAGTCCTGTATCGGGAGCACGGGCGCGAAGAATGAACTGTCTACAGGTTAGTTCTTCCTGAGGAGAGGTGTAGTCTGAATGCCCCCAAGTGCGTACACAGTTTCCATACTCTTTTGTTACTCTAGTTTGTCTTTGTTGCAGTTCTTCTTAGCACTGTCCTTCGTCTTTTATCCTGGCTTTCTTTTTCTTGCTTTCGAGGACAAACACACCCAGCTTGCGGAACCTTGACAGGCTGATTTTCTTTTACCTTTTAAGTGCATGAATCTCTTAAATGGTCTATTCGTAAAATTGTTAAGAAATATCTATCTCTGAGCGCATTCGATAAATGCGGACCTAACAAGTGACTCGTTAGCCTCGAGCCGATGCTTCAGTGTGAGCAATTACCCTCAAAGCGATGAGTCGTCATGGCCATTGAATTGATAGTTTGTTGATTTTCAGAGCATTGACATTGACGTCAGTGTAAAATGATACAGGCGGGAAAAATTTTATCGATTTCTAATTTCTCAAACTATTTTCGATAAAGAATTCATGCTGCAAAACGCAACTTCCATGTTGAATAGCTTACAATAGAAACGGCAGAAGATTCTTTGGTCGAAGACAGTAACAGTTGTAGGTCTTGAACGAATCTGCAATCTACCAAGGACAACAAAGAAAAGTTCTTATATTTTGGCGAGTGCGGGTAAATTGCATGGTATTGTCTTCTGAAGTTGTCCTAATTGTCAAATATTTCTACACGAAGGTGTTTTGACGTTACGTTAACTTGCCCTCAAAACGTTTTTCTAAACAAATGAAACTTTATAAGGATTCAATCGGTGCAAACTTATGAACAATAAGTTTATGAACTTTTTTTGAGTATCATTTAGGGTGTTGATGAACATGCTTTTCAGGCAATTCCAGAACTAGCGATTGATTTTAGGTGTTGTGGTCTGATAAAACAAAGATGTAACTTCACTGAAAGTGCACTTAATGCTGATTTGCAGTTTAATCATTCGCGAATAATGCTACTGGTGGTTACCGCCAAGAATTCGTCGGAAAACGTTCGTGCCGCTTCATCTTTAAGAAGTGGAGGCTACTAGAGGCGTAGCATGAGAGCTTTTCTCAGAATGCTACCGAGTAGGATATTGTCACCAATGTCTAAGCGTAGTGTTATTATGAAAAAAGAAAAGCGCATAGGCGCCCGCGAACTGGTGGGCCACTAGTCCCTCTCTTTGTGAAGTACCGGAGCTGCTAGCATTTTCCGCTACGTTGCTGACTTACGACCAAAGTATCTAGGGCACACCTGTAGCCTTTTCTACCGTAGGCCCTACCAAGTTTTATTGATAGGTGCTTAGCTAGGAGGTACTTCTAAGTATGCCTGCAGAAGAATGTCTAAACTTTGCAGAAATGGGAAATTGATTGCATAATTAGGCGGCTGCTATGACTGCCGACAATGCCTGTGGACCACGAGGTAGCTGTAGACACAGTCATCGGTAATAGTCTACAATCATCATGGCTTTCTCACGGCAGCGAGCGGTCTAAGTTAGAGCTATGTAAAGCATTTTAGGTTGCATTGAACATGCCACACATAAAAATGGCCAAACTTCTGGAAGAATTTTTTGCTCAGTGGAGACGGAGCAGAGCTTACACGTCGGCTTGTGCTCCAATGAGGCAGGTACACCTACCGGTGACGAATACTAGAGCCTGAAATGACCAGTGCACAGAAATGGCAGTCGCCAAACTCGTCAAACACCTTGTTGAGAGGCATGGTAGCGCCAACTTTCACGGGGTTGTTGTTCGACGACGTTCCCAACTTGGTAAGGAGTAGCTAACTCACCTATAAACTCGGGACACCATGGAAAGTTCGTTGGGTGCAGCCTACTTGAACGTATCCTACTAGTTTATGGCGCTTCACATATGCAGCCTTCAATATCTGTGGCCACTTAAGTGAGATGAAGCTTTCGCCTTACTCTTGGAACTCCAGAACCAGAGAACAAACTGCAACATGTTTGCTGCTCTGCAACTAATGTGGCGTACCCTGTTCACAGATGTTAAAACTTGTCATAGAGTGCTGCCACTAGACGCTTTAGACACTTTGCCTTAAGGGCCAGATGAAATAACTCAAATGTGGTTGTGATTGGAAAACCACGTGTGCTGTGTTATAACGGAGTATACATCATCTCAAACCACTCTGTTCAAATATGATCATGCTGAACAACTTTGCAATACTGTTTGCAATCATGTGATCTTTGTTTGGAATCTGCCTTTTGAAATAACATCTCGCGGATGCACTTATATCAGTCCGATTTGTATATACGATCACACCAAAGCAGATCCTACCAAGCAGTTTTCGGGCTGCAACTAAAGTACCCATTTGGGCATGTCCTTGTCCTTCAACGATACAGTGACAAAGATGGAGACTCTAGCCAAACGTTGTTTTCACCAAATGTTCAACACTCTAATTCCCTTAGTTCAGGACAACGCTTCATCGTGTGATGGCCACCATGTCAATTTGATCATTTTGTTCATGTGAGCCATCTGCGAACGTTTTGGATTCTAAGACCACAGGACGTTATTGCACACGTTCTTTACTCACTGGGTCAATGAAAATGCCGTCTCTGGTTTTTTTATTCTTAGGTTGTCGATGTCATAGATGTTGGTCAATGTGGTCACTGAAACAGTTGCTGTGGGCTTGAGCATAGACTCCTGTTGTAGCCACTTAGACAAAGAAGCCATGCCTTGTGAATAAAGTCATGTGCTTCCGCCACTAAGCTTTGGAACATTATCACCTTAGATCTACTTGCAGATCTTTGATGACCAAAGCTTCGCAACTGCATGTGACGTATCTCGACGGCAGATGAACTGTGGTCATTCTGCTAAAATCAAGACCATGTTCCAAAGGCAAATGTTGATGACAATGCTACGAGAGGGCATTTTGAACGTTTCCTCATCTGTAGATGTTTTGGCGGCGAGGATGCCATCGCTAGTCACTCGAACTTAACGTTGTCACAGCGAGGCGAACACAAAACACCGTGGCCATTGCACCAACCACCACATGCTTGAGAGTGTCCTTCGGTCACCAAGCGTGGCGTATTTCATTGTGGCAACATTACCATGTTTTTTTGTTAAGGTCATATGCTTTGATCGAACATTCAGAGGACTATGGTAAAAAAACTGACTAATAAACTGGGCTTTACTTCATCTTCATCGTGCAGCGCTTTGGTAAGAGCACTGCGCTTGAGGCATCCTTCATTCTGCAGCCAGGTATGGTGTTTATTCTTTGTCGCAATGTTACCGTATCTTTTAGTTATAGTACACACGCTCCCGTCGCTGAGGTTTCGAGGCACTTTGGCCAATGGTCCGATCAAGTCGAGCTTGAAGGCGTCATACTCCAGAGCGCTGTGGCCATGACACCTAGGGCGCATGCTTGAGAGTGATCTCCACCATCTGCTAAGAGCATTGCTTTTCTGTTGAGGCAATGATACCATGTTTCTTTCGGTATAGACCTACGTCTTGATCCAAGAACTTTTGGGACATTATGGCTGAAGGGCCGACCGAGCCAGGCTTGATTGAATGCGTCATCCTACAGAGCGCTGTGGTCATATCATTGACTGCTTCACGCTTGAGAAGGTCCTGCATCTACAGCCAAGGGTGGTGCTTTTCGTTGTGAAATTGATAGCGTGTTTCTTTCCTTGTAGTCACACATTTCTATCGCCGAACTTTTGGGACACTATGGCCAAAGGGACCGACCGAGCCGGGCTTGAATGCATCCTTATCTTGAAGAGCCCTGGGTGGCAGCAGCATGGGGGCTCCACCGCGCTGCTGCCGTCTCGTACAGCTGCTTCTGCATGATGGCCAGGGACACTTTGTTGGCCCTGAGGAGGTCTGACATGCAGATAAGCTCGCCGGTGTGTCCTCGCTCGTTGTCCGAGTCATACGTTGAGTCAGCATCCGAGTCGGAGTCTGCGGCCGCAGTTATGTCTTTAGCCACCTTCCCGGACGACCTCCGGGACGACTTGACGCCACTTTTGGCCGCGGCTTTGGCTTGCACGCGGAGCTGGGCTGGAGTCAGGGCGTTTCGTCGATACCTGCATGTACAAAAAAAGTGTGAAGTTGGATGTCATTCTGACCATACCGGTTCCTGTAAATACACAAAAAGGAACTGTGGCACAAGCGTGTGCTGAAGTTGCACCACATGACGGTTAAGCTTGCACGGGAATGATGGTTAGTACACATTTTTGTATAAACATAATTCTTTCGGCTATGTTTGGCTATGTGCCACCTGCATTCGTTTTGTGTTCGAGAAACGTTCAACAGTTTCACTTCACCAACTTGGGCACTCTATGCTCACAAATTCAAATCAGCTCACGAAGTTGAGAACCTTTCCTTCTTTTATATGAAACGAAACCATATCGCAGCCCCACCGCAGTAGTCTAATTGCTGAGGTACTCGGCTGCTGACCCGCAGGTGACGGGATTGAATCCCAGCTTTGGCGCTGCATTTTCGATTGAGGCAAAAATGCTGTAAACCCGTGTGCTCAGATTTGGGTGCACGTTAAAGAAACCCAGGTAGGCGGAATTACCGAAGCCCTCCACTTCGGCGTCTCTTATGTTCATATGGTGATTTTGGGTTGTTTGTGTCTCTTCTCTTCGTCCCATGCATTTGTGCGCTGTTTCTGCCCATAATGTTAAACCCTGCATATCAATCAATCGAAACCAAAACTCAGCAATAAGCAAAGCCTCAAGTGTGTTCAAAGCCCTGAAGGAAGAAGACTAAGCCGATCCGCGCAATACCCCTGATTTCAATGGTGGCTGAACGGTCGCAGTGCCAGAGTTCCCTCTAAGAAAAATTAAAGGAAATATGATTCTGACTCGCAATAGAAATTCCTTTTTTTCCGATCTAAGACCAGGAGTTTATATAGTATTGTGAAGGACCTTTTTTTGTAAACGTAACACAGTCAATGCTAGTCGTATCGAATGCTTCAGAATACTCCGTGCAAATAAAGAGCCAAAAAATGAAAATACGCAACTGCCTTTTGGTAGAAATTTGGCATGCCGCGTGGGTCATTGATAGTATGAAGTACACTGTAAATTTGGTTACTCATCTTGATATTTAAGCTTTTCGTAGAATACTCGCTCATGGATATAAAGAGAGACTGGCACTGATTTGTGGCTCCGGATGCTTCTCTTCTCCTGCGTAATAGTTACCATCGCAAAGCGGTGAACGAGCGCAAAACTGAAGAAATCGGGGTATGAACGAACAACAACGCACGTAGACCCAGTTCTTTAACGAGAAAAAGTGCTCACTCAAAAACAAATATATTCGCACAAAAAATAATATTTTCCATACAACATAAAAATCGCGAAGATGCTATCACAGCCATGCAATAGGCATTTGCAAACTGACTCTAGATTAGCACACTCTAACTGCAACAATTATGTTTACAGAAACATGTGCTGCACAAGCACAAGAATACACAAACCATGTAGCCAAAAATACCGACTGAAAATGACAATGAAAGGAATATTTTTATTGAATTTAATATATTAGTGACATTTATTGTTGCTGCCCAAATTGATTTGTTTTGACTCGAAATAAAACAGGTGAATATAAACGTGTGTTGTGTACCTGGTGGGTTTCTGGCCCATCCGGCGCCTGAATCTGCAGGAACAGTCAAGCCTGCGGATGAGCCAATTGAGGAGCTGCTTGATTACGATGGAGGTGACGTTGAAGAGGCTGTAGATACAGCAGCAGCCCGCTGATAAGATTACGAAGTTAGCCACGTGGTACCAGCTCGACACCTGCGGGAGAGTAGCCAGAGAAGGTAGATAAGGCGATGTTATTTTCGTCGGCTTGCTCACGAAGGTGGCAAAAGGGTGGCCATCGCCATTATTACATAAAAAGGGAGATGAGTTGACCTAGTAGAAGAGGCGGGGGGCTGTGAAAACTTCCCCTGAAGGAGAACCTTCCACACGCTTATGATATTTTATTACGTGAAAATTTATCTACATGATGCATGTTCTACCTGCTAACTTCATAATCTCGGGTTTTGCATGCCGAAACCAATAATGAGGCAAACGTTTCTGAAGAGCTCCAACAATTTCGAACACCTGGTTTTATTCAACGGGCACTGAGATCGAACAGTACATGGTACTCTAGCACATCGCTTTCATCGAAATGCAACCCCCCTGACTGGGGTCGAACCTGTAACCATTGGGTCAGTAGCCTGTCACCGTAGCCACAGCGCCACGGAGACGAATTCTCATAACTTCATATTTTTATATAAGAGGTCTTTAATCTTGGTATGCGGGAGACATCATATTATAGTGTCAGCCAGATATATCAACGTTTGAATGAATTGAACCTTCTGCCTAATAAATTAGTCATCGTGTCGAATTGGATACTGTATGTGTCAGGTATTTATTACGTTCCGATATTCTGGACCTGGTTATGTTCTATGTTCAACATCTTTGAGAGCCGCAAATATAATTGTGGGCGCCATATGGGCGCCATATGGACGCACGACTCTCTTCTTACATCCTTCCACCAAAAAAGGTGACACAAATGCCAAAGAATAGCAAGAAACGTGGGATGTTTAGGTTAGCGAGGGAATAATTAAGGAAGCTAAGGTGGAGCAATGTCACGGTTTGTATACAGATGCACTACTAGTTGAGCTAATAGACAGGACAAGCTTTCGAAACAGCTCATGATCCTCAATTAGGTTGTCCACTGTGTCAATCACTGAAGCTACCCAGTGTCTTTGGATTGCTTCGTTTGCGTTCATTTTCGCAGAGATTTCATAGCACAAAAATCTTTTAAGTATGCCTGCGTCAATAATAAAACTAAAGTTTCAAGCTATACTTGTTTGCAACATTCGACTGCCCTCTGTAAGACGCTTGAAATTCTGTCTATTTTTCATATGAGTGTAAAAGTTGAAAGCACATCTGCAGTGAGCTTTCCCAGTAAAACATACCGTAACATATCAACAACCAATACTTTGTAAGAGGGGCATGTTAGTGTAAGTTGTTCAAACAACTCCAACCACAAATCTCCAACCCCTTCTACAAAACGCTGAGAATTCCACCTATAGGTGTTGTATGCTAAGTATGACGCCACTGTTAGTCTATAACCACTCGTACAAGTTTATTTTTAACAGCAAATTCTAGCACAAAAAAGCACAAGGCGACAAGAAAACACGCTAGACGAATACACCAGGCCGTGTCGTATGATACTTGTATGGTTTCGTTATGTTAGAATATACGGTGAACAACCACCAACAAAGCTATTAACACATCATGTCAAGTCTGTTGCCTTCATCAGCGATGACATGTTTGAAAACAACCTTAACTTAGAGAAATAAAAGTAAAAAAATGCACCTCGAGCTCTAGAAGTCCTGTGGCATCGGAAGCCTCGGGCTCACTGGTCACGTCATCGTCCTCTTCAGTGGTGACGTTCGACGTGGCAGACGGCGGCACCCTGAAGGACAGCTTCTGTCCGGGCACCAGGTCCCCGAAGCCAATCGTCGAGAAGGCGACGAAGCAAAAGTAGAACGACTCCAGGTAGTCCCACTGCTCGGTGCGAGCGTAGAGCACCGACGCTGAGGCGGAAAGCACCGCAGTGGCCACAAACAGGCACAGCATGACCCAATACACCGAGGGCTTCCAGTCGTCCAACCGGTCATCGAACGACAGCTGCGTTTTTTTTTGTACATTGGAGCTTCTCATCAAGACGCTATGCAACCAATTGTGTACATCACTTGTTTTTGGTCTTTGTATCGATTGATTGATTGATATGGGGGGTTTAACGTCCCAAAACCACTATATGATTATGAGAGACGCCGTAGTGGAGGGCTCCGGAAATTTCGACCACCTGGGGTTCTTTAACGTGCACCCAAATCTGAGCACACGGGCCTACAACATTTCCGCCTCCATCGGAAATGCAGCCGCCGCAGCCGGGATTTTAACCCGCGACCTGCGGGTCAGCAGCCGAGTACCTTAGCCACTAGATCACCGCAGCGGGGCTTGCTCTTTGTATCAACTGTGTGATCATAGACAGCCAGATATATAAAGATTTGAATGAATTGAACTTTCTGCCTTATAAATTAGTCATTTAATTTAATTTACAGTGTACTGTTGCATATGATTACCCAGTGGAAGGCAATACCATGTTCACCAAGACACTTCCTGCGAGCCACGTAAAAATTTTAATTTTGTTCTGTCGAAATGAAGATCACCAAAAATAAATTGGACTCATGTTTCTAGGCTAAAACTTGATTCTATTTGTGCCAAAGTACAGCGTGAAATAATTTAATAGCACCTTATTTAATGACAAAAGTCTTTATTGTGGATACAGGACGGAAATGTCAAAGTACACAATATATGCGCGCTGAACACTGATAGCGGTATTCACACTCATCGGATTGTGGTAATCTCAACTTCGACGGAATGCCTCGGATTTTATAGATGAATTATCAAGCACTTCTGCCTTGTCATATGCGCTAACGTTGGGTCTAGAATAAACTCGGTTACCCGGGTTCTGCGCATAATTTTAACCCAAGAGTTTAAAACAATCGCGAAGTTTTCAAATATCTAGCGCGACCTTCGACTAGGGGTGGCAAGAGGTTTTTAGTGGGTGATGTCTGATCGCATTAAAGTGAAAGGAATATGATTTCGCAGCAGTATCAACCCTCGTCCCCCAACTTCTCGTAAAATTTATGCGTACAACTTGGTATTATGTCACGGGATAACGTCTCGTGTTAGCTCACGTTGAAACATCACAACGGATTCTTAGTGGCGGCAGAAGTTTTCGTCATTTGTTACGTCATGGGGAGTCACCCTTACATGATGATAATTTTTCGAAGCACTCGTGTCAGTGCCAACGGTTGTTTTTTACGTTTGTTGAGGCACCTATGCTTTTCGTCTCAAAATGTCGTAACTGAAAATATGATGAAAGCGTAGGGTAAAGACGCATATCGAACGACAGGAGATTAACGCAGCGAGTGGTTAGAAACAAGGTTAGGAATGCTGGACTATCAACTGATACTACAGACAGTTGATAGCCCATCATACTCCCTGTCACCGTCTCTTTTTTTCTTGTCTGGGTTTTTCCAGCTTCATCTGGGGCTGCTGGTATTTCCACCAAAACGCTTCATCCATACTTATTGTATTGCATCAGTGAAATTTTGAAAGATTACATTAGTGGCATCACTGGCTGGCATAGCCCCGGATGGGAGGCTATCAGAACACCTAGGGTACACAAAACCCACTTTGAGGAACCGTGATACAGGACACACTCGCCTGAGAGTCCCTCCTGTCGAGCAGCCCTCGCCTTCGCAGCTCCCTCTCGTGCAGTGCCTTGAGCAGACAAGCGAGTAGCGTGATGATGCGCTCCAGGAACAGGTTGAAGAAGAGAATAGCTCCCGAGCAGCCGAGGAAGCCGTAAGCCAGCACCAGACTGCGGCCTGCCCACGTACATGGCGTCGTCATGCCGAAGCCTGTAAAGTTCGCAATGTGCAAGTGATTGAGTAAATACATTACTGAAACCATGTGATTCTGTACAAAGAACTGCGGTATTATATGAAAAACAATGTAGTTCAACAGATGTTGCAGAGCATTCATAACTGCTGCACGGTACTAGCATCCGCAGAGTAAAGTGGGTAGCCCAATTAGGAGAGCCAGTCGGTGTTGCTAACCATGCTCGCATCTTCCTTGCAAGCGCCAAAACTTCGTGAAGTTGGACGAAATCAGTCTGACACGCTGCATGTGTGTGGCCAAGTAAGCTGCTCTTTTTTTGCCTGTTTACTTGCGCGTCTACAGCTCGCGTGGGTCTGGCGAAAAAGGGCTTGGTGGTTAATGGGGTGACGGATTGAAAGAGAAATGCAAATGGACGTCGACTTTTCTGCTTTCGGGACAGGCGGTTTTACTGAAAAGCCGAGCCTTGTGATGCGCTTCGCGGGAAATATGGTTATTAGTAAGGAGAATCACGAGTATCGACGTATCCGGGTAAGTTAGGAAGTAAAGCTCGCCTTATCGACACTACTTTACTATCTTCTTCACTTAGTCTTGAGCGAAGTTCCTTTCTTAACTTCTTCGTTCCTACGAGTGGAGAACGAGGCTTTCAGCTGACTTGTTTGAATATGACTAATTGCCAGTAATTGGAGGTATAGGGGCAACAGCGTGAGTAACCATGCTGTGTGACAATTTGTGAAACATACTTGTCATTCGCTACCCTTATTTTTCTACTGGTTTCAACCACAAAAGACTTTTATCTCCTCTCGTCGCAAGCCACGAAGCAATCTTTCGCAATCTTGCAGATTGTCTGAGATTGTTCTGTTTCAAAATAATATGCGAATTATGCCACGGCGGCCGCATATCGACGGAAACGAAATGCCAGTGGCATACATGTACATAAAAAAGGTGCACGTTAAAGAACACGAGATGATAGAACTTTGCGGAGCCTTCGAATACTATGCCCCTCGCAACCAGATCGTGTTAGAGACAAAAGAAAAACCACCGAATGACTATATTTTTTAATTACGTGCCGTTATATAGTACTCTAGTTTATTCGGGAGCTTACGCGAGCACATGCAATAACACTGAAAGGTGCGATCACCCCTCTACAGGACAAGGGCCGTTCCTTTGATGATCAGGTTATCAATGAGGCCGACAATAATTGCCGCTATCAGTATGAAGCGCACCTTGATTGTACTTTGAGCCGAATGGTTTTCTGGGCACAATTTATCCAAATAAAGAGTTTCTTCCTACCGGAGTGGCTAAAGCTTTTCAGTCATCCAACATGTCACAGTACAGTAGGTTAAAGGGATTTCTGGTGTGCACAGTAATTGCAGATGTTTGTGCTTACGTATACACAATGAACAGGGTGAAACTGCACAACGGCATTTGCGCAATCGTGCGAAGGCTTCTTATCGAACCTCGCGCGGTTAGACGCCAACTTGCAAGACGTTCGGCAGGATAAGCAGTGACTCCCATCACTTACAGCAATGAAAATCAAGAAAGACCGCTGGCCTAGCGTGCGAAGGGCCTCTTACGCAGCTAAATGAGACCCGAAACAAGTTAATTTCGAAAATAAACTAGCGTGCTTAGAGAAAGAAGGAGCAAACTTTTGAGATAGTAACAGACACTTCCTTAAATTGAAACAAAATTCACAAATTTGGAAAATTTCAAACAGACATTTTGGTGCATTGGCGTTATAGTATATTGTCGGGGTTCGAAACAAGTTTCTTTAAAGTATCTCAATATAATTAGGTACAATTCGCAAGTGTCGTATCAGATGCAGCTGTCGCAACAGTATCTTGCATCTGTATCTCCGATCCTTCCTACCGGAGCATCTTCCATTGTACCGTGATACAACTTCAAAGTATCTTCGCCCAGATCTGTCCACGTGAGGTGTATTTCATTCTGAAAACAGTGGAAAACCACTCGACAAGGCAGCGTGAAAACATGGACGCAATAGAGAAGTCAAGACATCACCAACGCTGACTAACAACCCAATTGTTAGTCAGCATTGTTAAGCAACGTCATAGGCTACAGTAAGAAACTGCTTATGTATACAAGTCTCTGTGCATGGCATTATTGTACGTGCACCTGTTCACTCATATTGCAACGAACGTTTCATGGTCTGTGTTCGTTGCCTGTGTTCATGACTTCTATTACGGGGTGTATGTCCACACATGTCCTCGTTATTTGCCAGATATTGGGGTAGCTTGAGTTTTCCTCCAGTGACAAACGTCCCTTTTGCTCCGAGCCTGTCCTTATACACGAGATGGAATAAAATTTAATTGAATTAAATTTAAATGAATAAAGGCTATTTCAGAATGCGGGTAAAATGATAGCTCGTTGTTGATGCAGTGCTATGCAGTGCTATGATGCAGTGCTATGATAGCTTGTTGTTGATGCAGTGCTATGTTGATGCAGTGAAAAGAATTTATTAAGCACGTGCACTTGATAAAGAGAAAAAAAAATGTCTCATGAGAGTGCTTTTGGGGAATGACTGTTTCACATACATCTCAGAAGAAACCGAACCGCACAGAAGAAGGCGTGATGGATGGGTGGCCATTTTCCCCCGCTTGATCACAACAAAACACCTCACTAAAAGTACGGCGGAGGCCAATAGACTGAAGTTGATGGCTTTCGAAGTGGACCACATAAAGCTGTTGAAACGCCTCGTCGTGAGTATGCTGCTGGAGGAAGGCCTACACTAGAAAAGCGAAAAAAAAAAAATTTTCTGTGGCAGGAGTTTGACTGCTACGTGGGACGGAGAGATTCAGAGTTGAAAAATTGATCGCATACTTTCGAGGGATTCATGCATGCGGGAATCGCAAAAATGGGGCAGGATACTATACGCGGCGATATTATCCGGAGGCGAACCATGCCGCGAATGCAAAAAAGAAAACAACCTGACGGCAGGCCAGGCTGTACGTGAGCGAGATAAAGAATTAGTGAGTGAGTGAGTGAGTGAGCGAATGGATGATTAATGAATAAGTGAGTCATCTTATGAACGAAAAAAAAACATGAATCAGTGATTCAATGAGGGAGCGAGTGTACTAATGAATGTAGGAATGTTTTTTGACCAAGATAGTGAATGCATATCTTTTGGTCACTTGGTATCAATCAATCAATCAATCAATCAATCAATCAATCAATCAATCAATCAATCAATCAATCAATCAATCAATCAATCAATCAATCAATCAATCAATCAATCAATCAATCAATCAATCAATCAATCAATCAATCAATCAATCAATCAATCAATCAACACGTTTCAACCAATCAGTAAATAAATTCATAATAATGATTTAATATAGAAAAAAATCTTGTTTGTTAAATCGCAACGCCCCAAAATGAGTAGGCATGGACTAGCCTCTGAAAGATCAACCTCGTGATATCAAAATCTTTCGTAGTTTCTCGATTTGCACGACTATTTCAGGAATCGAACCTTCTATATACCTTCGTCCACTGAAAACAAACTTAAATGAGGTAGATTAGGCGGATTCAATGAAAACAAACGCTGTACTATATCTTCGGTGGGGCCGTGAAATGAGTTTTTTTCTCCGGAAGCTACCAGCCACCGCTACCAGATTACGCCACGTTCCTCTCTAAGCATCACAGTTAACGCATCTTTGTTTACTTCATGGAAGCAAGTTTATTTTCACTCATGTAATGGAGATTAAAGAAGCTGGAAACACCCGAAAACTTCATTGATTGCGGGATTATTGACAATTTAGTAAGCCATTACTTGTGTGACTGCTAAACAACAAACGACATAGGCTAAGGAAGGGTGGCCCTTTTATTGTCCGTGTCCTGTTTTTTGTTCAATCATGATGATGCAATTATTAAATATGAAAACAAAATGAAGTATGAAGTGAGTGAGTAAAAACACTACTGAGAATGTCTTTAATGCATGAAACTAGATTTTCCAATTATCCGATTCAGTCACTGTCATGTGACATCAATCTGCGGCCACAAAGAGCTGACTGTCACGGATTCATTTTGTTCATAGGGGGGGGGGGGGTTAAAAATTTTAACTCTGCATGAGTATATTCAGTTACTTCAATCTCGTGGTTCGGCTCCGCGGTTATTACCTGCCCTAAGTAGACATAGTCTTTTACAACTTGACGTGCACTATTACCTATTTCGAAGCGCTGCTCTTTTTCCGAGGTTGTTGTACATTACTTTCGTTTTCTGCAGATTCATTTTAAGACCTACCTTTCTGCTCTCCTTGTCTAACTCCGTAATCATTAGTTGCAATTCGTCCCCTGAGTTACTCAGCAATGCAATGTCATCGGCGAAGCGCAGGTCACTAAGGTACTCTCCATTGACTCTTATCCCTAACTGTTCCCATTCTAGGCTTCTGAAAACCTCCTGTAAGCACGCGGTAAATATCATTGGGGAGATTGTGTCCCCCTGCCTTACACCCTTCTTGATTGGTATTCTGTTGCTTTCTTTATGAAGCACTATGGTAGCAGTTGATCCCCTGTAGATTTCATCCAGGATGTTTAAATATATTTCATCGACGCCCTGATTCCGCAGTGTCTGCATGGCGGCTGATATTTTTACTGAATCAAATGCCTTCTCGTTATCTATGAAGGCTATGTACAGTGGTTGGTTATATTCTGAACATTTCTCTATTACCTGATTGATAGTATGAATGTGGTCGATTGTTGAGTAGCCTGTTCGAAATCCTGCTTGTTCCTTTGGTTGATTGAATTCTAATGTTTTCTTTACTCTGTTAGCAATTACTTTTGTAAATAGCTTGTATACTACAGAGAGCAAGCTAATCGGCCTGTAATTCTTCAAGTCCTTGTCATCTCCTTTCTTGTGTATTAAGATGATGTTAGCGTTCTTCCAAGACTCTGGTACTCTTCCCGTCAGGAGACACCTCGTAAATAGGGTGGCTAGTTTTTCTAACACAATCTGTCCTCCATCTTTCAGCAGATCTGATGTTACCTGATCCTCACCAGCAGCTTTGCCT